AGCCCAGCATGTCAACCAGGCGCTCAAGTGGCAGGTGAGAAAGCCATGTCCAGCACAAGTTTCATCGTGGGGCCCAGCTCATGATACGGTAGTGGCAGGTCCGTTCGGCTTTGCTTCGCCAAGAGGACTTTGATGCATTCACTTCGTAGGTTTGCGAACCCCGATTTGAGGCAGGGGGCAGTCGGAGAAATTTCTCATGTTAGGCCGCAGATCTTTCGAGTGAGGTCTTTGTGCACATAGTCCCCCGGCGTAAGTTGGAAGAGCTCCTCACTTTCGACGAAGTGGCCACAAGAGTGCCCACCATTGCCGAGTGCATCAGACCCGGAGAAATAGTATAGACGTGCTCCCTCGCAGATCGCTTGCTCTCTTGCTGCCAAACTGGGCCGGAAGATGCAGAGCTGGTCGCTCTCATGGTGAACAAGGCTAGTTGCATTGTACCTGTTGCATTGTACCTGTTGCATTGTACCTGTTGCATTGTACCTGCTGCATTGTACCTGTTGCATTGTACCTGTTGCATTGTACCTGTTGCATTGTACCTGTTGCATTGTACCTGTTGCATTGTACCTGTTGCATTGTACCTGTTGCATTGTACCTGTTGCATTGTACCTGTTGCATTGTACCTGTTGCATTGTACTTGGGGGGCTTAAAGGGGGGCTAAGGGGGGGCTTGAAGGGGGAGCTTCATTCTGTCTGGAAATCGTTATAGATTTGCTTCAGTCCGACGAAATCCAGATTTAGGGCATTTCTCCTTCGAGAATCATCCAATTTTCCTCTTCGAGCAGGTGCTGTCTTGTTGCCCACACTTTTTGTAAGGCTTACAAATCTTCGTGAAGTGCGCGGATCCTGTCGTAGCAAGAGGTGAAAAGGAGGGCTTCAGCAGCTCGACACCAAGTCATGACACCTTTAATGGATCAGATCGTTCCGAAGCTCCACACACACCTACAAGAAGATAAGAATACTACTAGAACACGCAAATACTAGAGTATTAAAATATTCGAATGCTCAGAATATTCGAAGACTAGAATGCTAGAATACTAGAATATTAAAATACAAGAATAGTAGAATACTAAAATACTAGAAGACTAAAAAGTAAAATTGCGAGATAGTACTATAGCACTATCTATAGTACTATAGTACGGTAATACTTTTGTACACTCATACAAAAAACAATAGTATTACAATGCAATAAGGCAAGAATACTATAACACTAAAATACTATAACACTATATTATGATAATCCTAGAATATTATAATACTATAATACTATAAAACTATAATACTATAATATTATAATACTATAGTATTATAATACTATAATACTATAATACTATAATACTATAATATTATAATTATAAATACTATAATACTATAATACTATCACACTTTAATATGATAATATTTTCATACTATAAGACTATAATATTATAATACTATAAGACTACAATATTATAGTATTATATATTATATTACTATAATACTATAATACATAATACTTTATAATAATATATTACTATTATAATACTATAATACTACATAGATATATTATAATACTATAATACCATACTATAGTACTATAATACTATTATAATACTATAATACTATAATACTATAATACTATAAACTATAATACATATAATACTATAATACTATAATATAATATTATTATACTATATACTATACTACTATATACTATAATACTATAATACTATAATACTATAACTATAATACTATAATACTATAATACTATAATACTATAATACTATAATACTATAATACTATAATATAATACTATAATACTATAATACTATAATACTATAATACTATAATACTATAATACTATAATACTATAATAGTATAATACTATAATACTATAATACTATAATACTGTAATACTGTAATACTATCATACAGGTGAAAACGGGAATGTGACACTGTCCGGAAACAAACTTGCTTATCTTTGCACAGATGTGCGTAGGACCCGCGAACTTGAAGAGAGTGACCTTGAATTATGATTCATGTCTTGAAACTACAAAGAACCACCCCCCCCCCCCTTATTGTTAAGGGCGGTCTGGTGCATTCGCCACTCCTTCAACCCCTTTGCTCAAAAAGTTTGAACTTCCAGAAACTCCTCAGGCAGTTTCAAGAAACAAAAAGTTGAAAAGTTTGTTCTTTTTGGACAAGAAATGTTGGAAGGCAGGAATCTAAGAACTGCGACTGCTACAACTAGCACCCCAGTGAAGAGCTCAACGGTTTCTTGCTTCGCACACTCGTCCTTATGTATATGTCTCGACCTTGCAATGTCCCGCCCATCCAGGTTGAAGCAAATTGCACCGAACATTCGCCCTTTGCGTCGGAGAGCATCAACCCCCGCCCCGGTAATCTGAGCATGGCTGTTGCACACTGGCAATGCTTTCTGGCTGGCAGTACGCATTCCAGGAGTGGAATTTCCCCCTCTGCATCAATGTCGGCATGGGAGGCGGGAAAATCCTGCTCCAGCCGAGGTGCAGGAGCATCTTGCAGATAACGCATGTGCACTTGCTGGCTTGGAGATGTGGGCGCGCCCACAGCAGGACATCCAAGCGAGTACAACATACGGAGGCGCTGCTTTTGCTCTCCGAAAGCGCGAACCCCTCTCACGCATTGCTTCTGTTGCCGAGTGCTCACCGCCACTGGGCCGACATGCACCCATCGCCGCCGCCAGGGGAGGCGCTCTGGCTTGATGCGTGCCAGGATAGCCAGAGTTGAGGGGCTTTTCGGCGAGTTCTGTCCGTCTCTTCATGTGCATCATGGCATCTCCACTCTGCTCCTCCGTCTGTCTTGTGCACCACTAATGGATCCTTTGCCGTCTGCTGTCACTGCTGTCTGCTTTCGTCACCGTCTGCTTCGCCATCCTGGTTCGTCGCCACAGCAAATGCTTTCTCGTGCTCTGCGCACCCAAACTCGCTTTAAGGTCACCGCTCACAGTGATAGAAGCCGACAAAAGCCAAGAGTCCACCCAAGGACTTTGGAAAAGCAAGAGGGGTCGGAATCGCGATCCAAAACAGATACATGGCAACGAACAGACAGTGGCCAGCCCTGCAGACTCGAGGCGTTTTTGGAATCACCCCAGAATCTGACTTTATGGAAATCTTTTTGGGACTGCAACCCTCGCGCAAATTTATTTTTCAAAATCCAAAAGGACGTGCTTACAACTCCGCTGCAACAAGGGATTGTTTCCTGGACCGCACGGCTGAAGCTGAAGCCGATCCTTGGTCAATCGCAGAGGGCATTCCTTGGACGTTCCAGGGCTCTAACCCAGCAGAGTCCAGCCCAGCAGGATCCCAGTCGCAAGCCAGCAAGCTTGGAGGATTTTAGACGCAAGAACCAATTCTCACTCTCGTCAATGGTCTTAAGGGCCCCTGCGACCAAAGACGATGACAACTTGCAAGCAATGACCAGCTTAAGGGGGAACTTAAGGAAGGCTTAGGGCTTCGGGGGGCTTAAGGGGCTGAAGGGGGGGGACGCAACCCTAAAGGGCTCACGGGCTTCAAGGGGGGCTTAAAGGGGGAGGGATGAAGGGGGCCGAACGGGGGCTAAGGGCAAGAAGAATTATGACGCAGTTTCCTTTTTGGTCCAAGGCGGAGATCTCATGGAGCCACGTTCGACCGTTAGACGTTCATTCATGCCGTGTTTGCAACACAAGCTAGCCAGCAAGCCGCCATGAGCCGAGCACCGGCAACGTTGCTGGTGAGAGCTTGTGAAGATTCTTTTGTGCACACATGCGTTACGCGCGAACATCATTCCACGGTGCATTGTTTTAGCAAGTGCAGGCTGGGAACGTTGCCGTTTCATTGGGTCCTGCGCCTGAGTCGCATGAAGCTTCAACCCTTTTTGTGTACGACGTTGCCTTGTTCCTCGTACAGGGACCGACATGCCCGTACAGTTCCTCCAACCAGAATCAGTCGATTTGCGGTTCGCAGCATCATCATTTGGGATGTTCCCCCTGTATACTAACAGTCCTTATAGGGATTATAGTAGGGGGTTACTATAATCTGCTAGGAAACCCCTCCCAAATCATCATCCGTGTTCTCACATCAGAATGGCGGTAGAGAGTACAGGATGGCGCTCCAATGGCGACATTGACGCACCCTGCCGGTGGCAGCTGTCAGGTGGATGCTAAGTTTGCTCATCGTATTTCCGTGATTCTCGAGTTCAAAATGGTATTGTCCCCACTGTTGGTTGTGTGTTGGTTCTTTTCATGCTTCAATCGATCGGGTGGCCGTTGGAGTTGCCCATGTTCTTTTTTTGGTTGAAGTTTGCGTCAAGCATGTGTTCCAAGCGATGTGCATTGACACAGGTTTCCCTCCCTGGAGTACGTGTGACGACTTGGAGGGGCGCGGATGGTGTTGAGCGGCTGGCACAAGGTTCGGAGCAACAGGAAGCTGACCATGGCTCATGCTGGCACGGCTGATTGGAGGTCCAGCAGGAGGAGTTCTGCCGTGCGGCTGGCGTCCGAGCTAGGGTGCGCATGGCAGATGCTTAAAGTTTAAGGAACTTACGAAGCACGGTAGGCGCTTTGTGATGGCATATGATGGCAGCTTGCAAGCCAGCTTGGCTATCGTGTGCAAAGCCTGGTTTCTTAGCCGAAGGCTTGGAGGATGTCTTTTCCCACACCGACTGGTCGTCCGCTGGTCATGACTTGCTTGAGTGAAGGGTAGGCGGCTGAAGGCTTGCTCTTGCTTTTGCTGCTACTTACGACCATCTGCCGTTGGCAGAAGTACCCTAAACCCTAAACCTTAAACCCTAAACCCGAAACCCTAAAGCCTACCCTACACCCTAAACCTTAAACCTGAAACCCTAAACCCTCAACCCTAAACCTTAAACCCTAAACCCTCCTAAACCCTAAACCCGAAACCCTAAACCCTAAACTCTCAGTATGACTCAATATGTTTGAGCTTTGGGATTGTCAGTTCGTGTCCGTGCAGAGACATCCTGGCATGTTGGCCCGCCAGTATCGAGACCATGGTGGGCAGCAGCGACGGGGACTCGCTGGCCTTCTCTGCCTTTGCGGAGGCGGTTTAGGGTTTAGGGTTTAGGGTTTAGGTTTAGGGTCTAGGGTCTAGGGTCTAGGGTTTAGGGTTTAGGGTTTAGGGTTTAAAGTAAACGAGCCACAGTTAAGACGCCGCTGAAAAGGGGGTTGTGTGATTCTACAAGTTTCGATGTATCGGCCTTTTCGAAAACATGTCAGCGGAGATTGTCGCAAATGTCCACCTTGTTTTTTTTTTCCAAATGTTCATGTTGATTGTGTTCGAGGTTGATGTTTCCGAGGTTCGGGGCTTTGGATCTTAAGTAAGGGACAAGGCACATGCCACACACCAGTTCAGGCCTGCACAACAGTCGAGTCAGCTTTCGTTCCCGCGTGGTCGAGCCCTCATGCTTCAGTTGAGGATGCAGTTTGGAAAATTCAGCTCGAAAAATCGTTCACTCCCATATGGGGTTTGTTGAGTTTCGTGAAATCACAGGCAACATATGTGGCCACAGGTGGACATAGGTGGAAATGGGCTTGTGCACTTTGCGCTTGGCAGGCTCGGTCGCCCGACGGCGTGCCTGTACTGCTTGCTCGCTTTTCAAAACCTTTGGTTGCGGCCCTTGGTGAAACAACGGGCGGTGGCCTTCACACGGTGACCCCAGCTCAGCCCCGTCGCAGGTGCGCTCTAGAGCGGAGGTTCGGCTTTGGGCTGGTCGGTTAGGTTTGAGCCTGGAGGCTCGGGCCTTACTTTCCAGAATGCACAACTGCCCATTTTTTGCCCTGCTGCGAGATGAGGTGGCCCATGCAGGGGGCGAAGAGATGGAATGGGAAGAGGAAGAGGACCCAGCTGCGAAAGGAAGTGTCTGATGAGAAGTTGGCACCGATGGACACCCAGGATGCCCTAAACCCGAAACCCTAAACCCTAAACCCTAAGCCCTAAACCCTAAACCCCAAGCCCTAAACCTTAAACCCTAAACCCTAAACCCTAAACCCTAAACCCTAAACCCTAAACCCTAAACCCTAAACCCTAAACCCTAAACCCAGGATGACGCAGCCGCAGCTGACGAGCGCCGCGCGAAGCGGAGCCGCATCATCCCGCCGGGGGCTTGGTACACGATGTGGAGGTTTCCGAAAAAATGGGTTTGGGGTTTAGGGTGTAGGGTTTCGGGTTTCGGGTTTCGGGATTAGGGTTTAGGGTTTACCCCAAGTAGAGTCGAGTCCCCTTAAAGGGACCCCCGAAAAGGGTACCCCCATTTTCGTAAACCTCTGCAACCAGGCTCAGTATGTGAAGCCCACATGGCCAGCTGAGGCTACCGCTACCACACGTTGGTCTGCAAGGTAACCTAGGCTGCGAGGAGGCTGCTTCCGTGGCATGTGTGCAAAGCAAACAACACTGAAAGGTTTCTCTGGAAACCGGGCACATGACTTTTTGCAGGGAGCGGCAGCCCGCGACGTCCAGGACGGCACACAAGCCATCACATTCGACAAGACAGGCCCGGCTCCCAGCGGCGGAAGGGTCTCAGTGTGTCTAGGCCACAGAGAAGGCAAGTTTCAGCATATTTCAGCTACACGCTGCGCCACGCTGGAGAGGCGTCCGCTTGGAGACGACAGGCTTCTCTGTCGTGCAATCAGCAGTGGCAGGATCCGGAAGATTTCTATAGGAGGCATTTCATGCAGCCTCCACAAAGTATTTAATCATGGCAGGACCCGTGATGCAGTTCAAAGCCCTCGCCCCGACCGAAATATCATTGCAGCCAGGCGCTAGGGGGCATTGCAACGGACAGCCAGACTGTGCCAGATTGTTGACATGTGCTGACTATGCATTGCAACGAGAATTGTGGCTTCATGAGCCCGATAAATGGAGAGAGGCCATGAGAGGCCCACAGATGTCCGTTGCCGCACAGGCGAGACTGTCTCCGGCAGCCTTCAGCTGACCCTCTGCTAGCGGCAAGACAAATGGGTGAGTTCTGGGGCAAGTCGAGGCGTTGCTTGGCGTATGGGCCCCTTGCTTCTTCTCACTTCTCCTGGGCATTTGGGCTGCACAGAAGCGCAGTTAGTAGAGAAGCAACCATCTTGAAAAATATTGTTCTAACAGCTGTGTCATTTTATGTATTTATATGATGTCATAATTTACTATATTACGTTCCGAAGCAATGCGCAAGAGTTGGGTCGCGCATGTTTCAAGCTCCGTCGGCTCAGCCATGCCGCGTGGAACGTTCTCGAACTTTGTGGACAACGTTGCAGCTGCCGATTCCGTTGCTCAGAAGGCGCTAGCGGGCGCTTTCGTTTGGGTTCGCCACTTCGAAGATTTGAATCCGACATCCGAATTTCCCGAGATCTCGCAAGGGCAAGCTTGAAGTACAAGTCCCCACAAGGATGCACTTAGAGCAGGAGCTGCGTGCTCGGGTAGCTGCTCTGGAGCAGCAGCTGCTAGAGCTGGGAGTGCTCGGCCCAGATTCAAAGCTGACCCTTGGGCGGTGTATATGCTGCGCGACAAGGTTTTGACCTCACTCATGTTGATTGCCTTGAGAATGAGGTGCGTCCATTCGGCAGTGAGGCGCGAAGAGCCCAAAACTGCGGAGTATGTTTTCGGTGTGCTCAGCCCAGACTTGATGATGCAGGTTGTGGTACGGTTGTTTTGTCGTCCGCCTTCTATATACAGTAGGCGGTTGTCTTGTGTTCGCATGCAACAAGAGCATTGCCTTTGAAACGTGGAATGCGAGATGCATTGAAGTTCACTGCAAAAAGCAAAGAATCATAAGAAGAGATGAAGCAGTGAACTCACGTGGAAGCCGCAGTTGCTCGCCAGGGTGTCGGCGGTCCAGTGGCTTCCTTCCTGGAAGAGGTGTGCATGTACTTCGGTGTGCGAGTACAGCTGGAATGGAATGGTTGGGTTCTTGTTAAGACAAACTGCGCTCTGCGCTCTTACAAGACTCTTAAATGCTATTGTTTTTAACATCACATATTTCAGCACCGCGTGTATAGGAAGCGTTATTGAGGTCCTCATTCGTCATCTCGTAAAGAATGGCCAAACCGATTTTGGAGCATCTCAGCATCGTCATGGCAGCTGCAAAATCGAGGCCGAAATGATCACTTTGTTGTTGGTCTTCGGGGGTGAGGGTTCTGCGGTCTCTTCCGGCTTCTTTCCGGGTTTGTGGTTAAGAGCGCAAGACTCCCGTTGTTGTACTGTTATGAGTGCTTATGTTGCATCTTTCTGTGGCTGTATCTTTGTGCTGGAGCATGTCGGTTAGCACTGCCTCGTTCATGTCGAACTTCGCAACCGATCCGAGCTTTGCCTCCAGTTTTGCTGCCTCTCTGTGTGAATCGCTGCGCCATCCTACATCCCGGACATCAATTTTTCTGGCACCAACACCGAATCCTTGAGCTTGAGTTCCTGTACTTCTTAGGGAACAGTTTTAATCGTTTTTCCTGGCATCAAGACAGAATCTTTGAGCCTGAGTTGTTTTTTTTGGAGGTTGCAGTTTCAACCGTTTCGTGACATCCACTCTATTCTGCAGCAGAAACATGCCTACCTCGCACTGCAGGGTGTATGTGTGTGTGTGGGGAACCCTGTGACTAAGGAAGCAGTTCGTTTCGAATTGACGCTCGTTTTATTGCAAAGGGGCAGAGACCCCCCTGAAAGCAACCTTTCATGCCAATGAAGCTCTGACCGCCGGAGTTAAGATAGAATGAAGACGCTCATTCTACAGACTTGCAGCTTTCAATCAAGTCCTACCGTGTGTGCTGTGCTTCTGTGCTGTGCGAAGTCGTTTGTTTCGCAATCTTTCTAAACCCATCTTCATGCAGGGTTTATGCTGCCAGGAATCTTCGCCGTTGAAAAATGACGGTATGCATTAGAGGGAGCATGGCGCGCGAGTGCGTGCGCGTGCGATTTTGTATCCGGCTGCTTTTGCTGTTGCGAGGGGGGGCACCTCGTGCGGGTCGGCGTGTGCTCGTGGTAACCCGCAATGCAAGCAGGTCTGAGACTTGGACGTGTGCGAACAATGGGTTGGAAAAGGAAGAATTGAATGTACACAGTCCTCCCCATTTTGGAGTCGTATTTCGGGGTTGCCAACATGCAAGAAGCTCTTGAAAACCCACCAGTGCGACGTTGTGCTGCCGTGAACAGGGAAAAAATTTCGAGTAGCAGCAAGCACAGCGTCACCTAAACAGAACAGGGCTGCAAGGAGGTGTGCTCTGTTTCACCGCTCGCCGCGCCAGGCAGCGCTGTCACAGTATGCCAAGCGCATCGAGGCCAGTCAAGGACTTTCCCGAAAGATTGGGGATCATTGCATGCCGAGAAAGGTTGACAGGTCCCAAAGCCACGAACCTAGAGAGACCCGCAATGCCAGCAAATAAGGGCGAAAATGCAGAATGTCGCATCATTCGAAATCCCACCTGTTCTTCCCTCTTAAGCCTTCGATGATTCTTGCAGCATCTTGCGCTCATGCACTGGTTGAGGAGTTGGTCTGGACTGATCACATTAAGTCAGCTTGACGCAATTGAAGCAGTGGTGTGGCCATCGCGGATGAAAAGCCAAACCTTGTGTCCCATGGGATCTCTGAACAATCACCCTACCTCATGTCGCTTGCCAAATCTTGACCTATAGGGCTTCTCGACCTGTAGGGTCTTGAGTGACGCCGAATCGATGAGGGACGTTGGGTACTTGGTGGAATGTTGCCTTGCTGACAAGGAAGGTTACTGTGGTCGGGAATTGATCACGTGTGTCCTTGATGCAGAACCACCAGTTGCATTCTGCCATGCCGTCCTGCTCCGGCACGGTTTCGTTTGGTTGCTTCATATGCGGGCAAGCTTCCTTCCAATGTCAGAAAGTTCATGGTGATGTTGTCATGATCAGACATTTCTAGAGGTTTGTTTTGGTGATCGGTTTATCGCTTCATCAATGGAAAGGCCCCCCCCCCCCGCCCCCCCTTGCCATGAAATGCCGCTGGATCACATGAACTCGCACCTGGTCAGGGGCAGATGTCTGCTGAGGTTGTTCAGTCGGGGGCAAGTGCCAGATGCTAGATGCCACACTGTGAGGTGCCTTTGAACCATAAGTTTTCAGCTATCCGGGTTGTTAGTTGTGCTTGTGACCGTGGGTTAGATTTTGCTTTCCGAACTTCGCATGGAACTGCACAAGGTGGCTTGGGGTGCCAAAAACACTCCCGGTATTGTGTAATGAGATTCGTTCATCTCGAAGCCAAGCCAGAGGTGTGTATTGTGGTGTGTGTTTGTCTTTGTGTGTGTCGGTACGTGTCATGTTGGGGGGTGGGAGGGAGGGGGGGGGGTGGACTGTTGCAGTCCAGGTGGCAGTAGGAAACGCCATGAAGGTGCCCCTAGCGTGCAAACAACGACCATGTTTGGGAGGCTGCGGGCTACCATGACATGGAGACCCTGAGCTCCATGGAGGAGCACCACTTTCAGGCGCCCTGGCGTTTTTTGCACGACTGTGTCAGGTCGGGGTGTTCTCAGGGTATCGTGGCATCGGGTAACGGGGTTTCTGAGCCTAGGGTGCACTGCTCGACGATCTGGCATTGGTACACCAAGCTGCACATCCCGCTAGAGGGCTCGCAACGTAACTAGTATCTAGTGCTTAGACAGCAGCAAAGCTCGAGCCATGAAAGCCCCCACGAAAGTGAGCAGTGCAGCGAGCAGTGTAGCGAGCAGGGCGTCGCCTGTCGTCTTTCATGTGTGCTGACTTTTCAAGGAGCTAGGTCTGCTCCCTGGGCATGCGCTGAAGATGAAGAGGCGGCGCAGACTTTTGGATGGTGCATACGCCTCGCAACGGAGTTCAACGGAGGTTAGTTGTTTGCGGATATCGATATGCATTCGGTTTCAGCCCACCTTCCTAGCCAGGTTTCTGCAGCCCAGGACAGACTAAAGCCAAATTTCTTTGATGTGCTTCGATGCATTGCGCGATCGCTTCGCACATGGCTCAAGTTGCGATTCACGCACCAACCAACCATATCCATTTGTGCTGCCTGGATCGTTTAGTGAGTTCCTGCCGCAAGGGCAACCATGAATTATCCATGGAGAGTGATTGACCATGGCTTTCATGCCATTGCTCATACTGACACCATCCGAGGCTATCCGATTACGAACCATGCAAGGTCAGCTGGGGTTTGGCTGTGGGAGGGGGGGGGTCTGCTGTCCCTGTCCGAGTTGCCCGACAAAGCAGCTTTGGCAGGTGCCTTCCACTGCTTGATTCTGCTCTTAGCATCTTCCCCGCTCTGCCAAAGCCGATTCCTGAAGAGGCATGCTGAGGATTCTTGCCTGACAAAGGTTCAGTTGCACTTCAAAAACCTTGCAGCTAAACATGGTGCGTTCAAGGCCAGCACTGTGACTGTATCAAGCGTTGGCTGGGATTTCGCTTCTAGGGTGGAGTTGCAGCCGAAGCAGAGAAGTAAAGCCAACAAACACGAACGCGAGCCGCTGCGAGACCCTGCGAGCCCCCGCGAGCCCGAGCTGAACCACCCTTTTGCCCAAAGCCAAAGCCGATGCGCGCGAACTGAGGAATTGGCGGTGCATGACCAGGAAACGTGCTCTCCTCTCAGAAACCATGAGACGTACTCCTCAGTTAGCGTGCCCTGGCTGCATGTGGTCGTAGGATTCACAAAAATCTTACATATCATGTCACTTCACCTTTCTTCAATGGAGAGACGGGGCTTCGCGGTAGCCCCTAAGCCCATCCTGTGTTCCGGAGCTTCTAACATTTCGTCGCACCCCTTCCTGGGGTGGTCGGGAGGGGGCAGTGGCGGTAGCGGCCAGTATCATTGGACCTGCTTGTGCCTGGGAAGAGCTTTGTTGTTTGGGGGCACGGAGGGCGGGTTTCCGAAAGCAGAGTGTGCCTGCACTGTCTCTTGTGCCTTGATAATGGGTTCCAAGGCACTTTTTGGACATGTTGTCATTACGCGATTTGAGGGGGCGGAGGGTTGGGGGATTGCAAGCGAAAAAGGTAGTGCTGTCGAACTGCCACTGTTTATGTTGGCTGCACATCGTCCAAGTGGTAGCGCACCATGCCACACTTCGTCCGTGTGCAGAAGCACGCGGCGTCGAAGAACGCAATGGCCGGCACACTTCGGTTGGTGCTCTCTCTGCATGATCTTTTGCCGTGCCGCTGTGCCACGGCTGCCTTCCGACCTGAAGTAGCTGTTCACACAAAAGTTTGCAGATTGCTCTAAACCCTAAACCCTAAAGCCTAAACCCTAAACCCTAAACCCCAAACCCTAAACCCTAACCCCTAAACCCTAAACCCCAAACCTAAAACCCTAAACCCTAAACCAAGGTAATGGTGGGCACGCCGCCTCAGAGCTTTGACCTGGTAGCGGACACAGGCGCACGCATCCCATGCGGGCACCCGGGAAATGCTTCAATGGTTTACGAGAATACGGGGACCCCAAAACTTGGACTCCCAAATAGTAGGATCCCCTTCTAGCAAGGGCCCCCCCAATAAGGTACCCCCTTAATATCGGTAAACCCCCAAATCAGGTCAATCTGCAATCTGCCATTTTGTACCACCCGTTTCTTTGCTCCAATTGGGAATCTCGAGGCAGCAACAACTGCATCGTGATGGACTGCCAGTGTGCCCAATGTCCACAGGATTGGGGAAAGTGCTTTACAGGCCCCTGCATCGGTCTCTCTCTCTATCCCTCCCTCCCTCCCTCCCTCTCGCTCTCTCTCTCTCTCTCTCGCTCTCTCTCTGTCTCTCTCTCCCTCTCTTTGCGGCGCGTCACAGAGGAGTTGGAGATCTCGGAGTTTTCAAATTCCTCAACGCTCAGGAAAGTCCAAGACTTTCGACCTGCCGAAGTACAAGTCGAAGGATCCGCTGCTCGGCTCCAAGGCCGGAGACACCTTCCATTCCTTCCGTTTCTTCCACTCCTTCCATTCCTTCCATTCCCTCCATCTCTTCTACTCCCCTGCATGTTTGTCACACTTTGCCGCCCGCTCTAACCTGTCAGAATCAATTCCTGCCGGCTTCCATGCTGCTGACCTTCGGAAGTGGCCAGATTGCTGCCCATGTTGCATCTGACGAGGCGGGGGGGGGGGGGCCACCAGGTAGCCGTTTTCTGTAGCCATGGGTAGCCGGGTAGCCTTCAAACGGGGAGACTTCGTGCGGAGAACATGACTCAGGTTCGTGTCGGTCACACAAGCGCCTTCATGAAGAATGGCTTGCTGCTGATGGTGCCCTGGTTGAGCCGAGAGGTGTCACAGGATGTCGCTTGGGGACGGGCGTTGGGGAGGTTCAGGTGCGTTCCGGCCGTCTGGAGCCTTGGATGGGCTTGGCTCCTGGAGTCTAGGGACTCCAGGGAGTCGGCGAGGCTAGGACATTTGAGGTTTTGGGCTACGAAGTCCGCGTTTCAGGGCATTGCTACCTCACCGGTGGCGGCGAGCCCGAATGCAGACACGTGTCACGCACACGGAGAACGGAAGAGACGCAGCGCACAACACGAGATCAGAAGTGAAGTGTCTTCATCCGCCTCTCTCTCCCCCTGTCTCCCTCTCTCTGTCTTTCTACGTCTCTCTCTCTCTCATCTTTCTCCTCTCTTTCTCTCTCTCTCTGAAATCTCCTTTTTGTCTTCTTCTCATCTCTCTCTCATCTCCCTCGCTCTCTGCTCTCATGGCTTTCTCGTCCCTTTCTTGTCTCATTCTCGTCTCTCTCTCTGAGCCTCTTTATGTCTCTCTCTGTCTCTCTCTGTCTCTCTCTGTCTCTCTCTGTCTCTCTCTGTCTCTCTCTGTCTCTCTCTGTCTCTCTCTGTCTCTCTCTGTCTCTCTCTGTCTCTCTCTGTCTCCTTCTCTGTCTCTTTCCTTTTTGCACTTTTGAAGCGTCAACGCCACGTGACCCATCCTCGTTACTGTCTGGCACTGTTGAGTGTGAACAACAAACGAAGCTTAAACAGCGACGACAGTTAGGAGAATGGCGACTCCCAAATGCCTCATCCCCGGAACTGTCTGCACTTTTGAGATGTGAACCGCAAGCGGAGCTTCAGAAGTGACGACAGTCACGAGGATGGCGGACCCCACGTGTCTCATCCTCGTGGCTGCTTGCACTTTTTCAGCAACCGGAGCCCAAAAGTGACGACAGCTACGAGATTGGCACGCCTCAACGACCCCTGGGAGGCCCTACCCTCGTGACTGTCAGCACTTTAAGACATACAAAGCATGAAACGATGCCAAAACGCTGGGTTTCCGCAATTACAGCTCGATGCGCGCCACTCGCGAATGCCTTCGAGCGCTTTCGAAACGCTTGCGAAGGGTTTCGAGCGCTTTCGGACGGTTTCGGACGCTTTCGGGCGTGTTCGAACACACAACGCACGATGTCCCTAAACCCTAAACCCTAAACCCTAAACCCTAAACCCTAAACCCTAAACCCTAAACCCTAAACCCTAAACCCTAAACCCTAGACCCCTAAACCCTAGAGTAGCTCCTCGACCCCTGGTTCAAGTTTCTAACGGGAACCCCTCTACGCTTTCGTTGCTGTGATGGCAGATGAGGTCGACCAGGCGCTGCGCCTCCAAGGACCCCCGGGCAGGGTTCGGGACTCTCGCGCAGCCGGAAGTCTCCAAGTTCCCCAAACTAGGGGTCACCCCCCTTTTATACCCTTATACCCCAGATAGAAAAGAATCCCCTTCAAGGGACCCCCCCCCCCCAGAAAAAAAGGGTACCCCCAGTTTCGGAAAGCCCCATGTCGAGCTGCCCTGAGGACCCTTCGAGGGCATCCTGGGATTGGGGCGACCCGAGGCTGGATCCGGGGTTTAGGGTTTAAGGTTAAAAGAAACATTTGGGGTTTGCCACGAGCAGCGTCTTCTGTAGATGTCGTAACTGCCAGTTTGTGCGAGCTCGGGCACTTGCAAAAAACCCCTGCTTAGCCGATTCGTTGCTTCAACCTTCAACGACGATGTTCCATCAGGGCATCCGTCGACAAGGAACATTTGTTGTTTGACTGAAAACTATTCACACGCGGCTTTATTCAGAGTGGGGTTTGTGAGGTCAAAACGAGTGGCGCAGTCAACCACACAGCGGGGGAGCTCGACATCCGCGTCCCAGGCAGGGCGGCTGGTTTCGGGGAGGGGGCGCGAGGCCAGGAAGCAAGTGCTGCCAGGTTATGCCGAGGCTGCTGGTGTCCAGCGCTTCTCCATGTGCTTCAACAAGGAGGTGGGCTTCCATTCTTGAGGTGGCAGCTTTTTCTGAGTTCTACACCTGGTCAGGCAGATGGCGTGCTAGGCTTGCACACCCCAGAGCCTGTCACGCGTTTGGAGTCGGTAGGTCGAACTCTCAGAGGGTTGACTGGGGCGACGGATGTTCCGCAAGGCCGAATGTCTACCAGGGAGCCTTCGTATGACTCACACCGCTGGACATACTTCAAGACCGCGAAGCGGTATCAAAGTTGGTTAATGTAGCGAATAGCACCACGACTCGCGGCTTTTGACATATTGTCTGCTGATTGCAAACGCTGCGATCTTCTACCACCTGACCGAAAATCATAGTGACTCAACCATACTCCGCTCACGTTCGCCCACGGCAGTTTTCCCGACATCTTCAAGCCATCTTGGAGCATTGTGAAGCACCGAATGTGTTCCCTGTCCTTCAATTCTTAGGTCAGATCCACTGGGGAGTTGATTTCCACGGCATCTCCATTGGTGAGGGCCAGACCAGGCAGAAGGCCGGAGTGCGACGACGCAGCTTGTGGTTGGAGGTGTCTGGCAGATGCTGGTGGGGGCAGGTCAAGTTCTGCAACCCCAAGGACAAAAAGCCAGATCAGGAGTCTGGAGCCAAGGTCATCAGACATTTCTATGCTGAGAGCTGCCGAGACACCATTCAAGCTGATACTCGTCCCAGGACTATCTGTGGTCTCATTCCGGACAGTGGAACCACAATGATCACCGGGCCAGAAAGCCAGCTAGCTGATCTTTACATGGACCCATCCGGGGGGGATGTGTTCAGAGCACTTGGGAAGGTTGTGCAAGGGTCCGAGCCGCAACCGACAAGCATGCCGTGAAACCGTGCAGGACATTTGCTCCAGCTGGTCACGTTGTCAGAAAGCTTTCGAAGAGGTCAGCAAGGACTTGGCATGGCTACTTCGATTTGTTCTTGCTTCAGTCGTGCAATGCAACCAGTGCTCATTTCGTCTTCCCTCTTCCTGGGAGTGTTGGCTGCCCTGTGCCCTCCGGCTTCAAGCACCATTGGAGGAGATGCACGACTTGCAGGAGCAGGGCATGCAAGTTGGAGGACCGCGATGCCCCATACTACATTGCAAAAAACTAGACTGAACAGTGAGGAGTCCGGACAAGAAGCCCCAACAGGTTACTAGGCCCTACTACTTTCTCTACCTTGTTTGGAAGGTAATCCGGGCAGTCAGCAATGCATGAACATAATGGTGATTGTTGCAGGTTGGGCACTGAACTTGCATTTCGTGCCTTCTCAGGACTGTCGTTGACACAGCATGCGACTGTTCCAGAGGACAGATCCGTCTCGAGGTGAATTTGTGTTTCTCATGCATGGCTGGGTACTTTACAGTTCTCCGGTTCAAGCTGCTCCCTAGCTGTTGTGTGACCCCAACCTAAACCCTAAACCCTACTGTTTTCCTGCAGTTGCAGGAGCTGGCGGATGCCTTCAAAAAGCTGCAGGACGTCCTGCAAGCAGGTGTGGTCAGGGCAAGAGGGCAACAAGAGCGTTTTCCCCTGACCGAACTGATTGAAGGTGGGTCCCCCCTTCCAATCCTTCCAAAACCAACCCGAGTTCCCCTTCGACCCCAGGGGGCACCTTGGAAGGGGTCCAGGTGGGAAAGCCGGTGGCAAAGCCGATCCGACTGGCAATGCTGGCAATGCTGGCAGTGCTGCTGATGCCGCCGCTATCGCTGACATCCTTGGGGGTGCGGCAGATGCAGAAGGCCGCGCCCGCCTAGCAAAAAAGGGAAAAGTTGGCACTGAGCTTCAAGCTGCCACTTGCGAGGTGCAAAGCCGCAGAAAGACTACCTGAAGGCCCCACTATTCTGTGCGAGTGCGGCTCTCCGGACCTGTGGGCAGTTTTGTTTTTCTTTGCTCAAACTTGCCAGAGAGGCCAACGTCTTCCTGCTGCTGCTAGAGCACTGTGCAGACTGGGCCGAGGTCGTGGGGGGGGGGGGGGGGCAACCTGTGGGAACAGTGAATGCATGTTGGAACTGCATAAAAGCCACCCGCGTCGTAGCCTTGTACTCCATGTACGAGTTATATATATAATATTATATTACATTGGGCTGTTCACCGTTATACTAACAGCCCTTAATTGGGATGATAGTACCCCCCCTAATAAGGACTGCTAGTATACGGGGGAACATCCCAAAGTAAAGTCTATCGATCGCAGCTTTTTGATTGCGGTAGGAGTCGAAAGCAAGGCATTCGCAAATGCTGCACCCAACACCCCGGTGGCACCATCAGATCATGGATGCCTCTTTGAACGTGTCTCTGCATACACACCGTAGCAGCATGAGAAGGGGGTGTCCGAAATACCGGGTTACCTTGTTGAGGTCCTTAGTTTAAGGGAATCCTATCATTTGGGCCCTAAAATGGACCCACATGAGACGAGCAAGCTTTCTGACCACAGGACTCACCCTCACCAAGCAGAACCGGCTGATGCATGCATTTGCAAGAGCCAGCACCAATAAGCGTACTAGCGCAGCATGACCACACGAATCAGTAAGCGCAAAAGCCTTCCAGGACCCTTCCAGGAGGTGAGAGTATGGATTTTCGACAGGAGGCTTTTGAGAAGGCCTTGCTTGGTGCGAAAGCCCTTGCCAGGGAGTGGACTTGGACAAGGAGCTTCCCAAGGCACGCCGCATGCGAGACAACAACTAGAGGCTACAGAAGCGTTAGTGAAGTCGCGGTTCAGAGAAGTCGAGGTCCCATGTTCGCGTTGTTCGAGTTGTTCTGTTCTGCTTTGCTGCTTTGGGAGCCGCAGTTGAACTTCCACGTTGCCGGCCTGAACGGGGCAGAAACGGAGCTCTCACTTCGCCCGAAGACCTACATCATGCCGCTCAGCCTGGCAGGGTTGTCGTTGGCAGATGGTAAGGGTGTGCGATGGCGTGCGGAAAGGGACGTGGAAAAAGCACTCTCAGGACTGCGACGGCTGAAATCAAAGTGCCGGAGATCAAAACACTTGGCGGGTGTCTGGTCGCATTTTTGGTCCCCATCCGACTTACTGTGTGCTGATTCAGACACAAACGTACTTCTTGTCGCTGTCAAGGTTGAATTTTCAGATTCAGCGAAGGAAAAAGGGCAAGGCGCGGCCAACACACTGTCTAGCAGCGTCCTGGCATGTCCTGGCATCGAGTGAGTGGCTTTGGTGGGTCCGAGGTGTGCATGCCTGCCTTCCAGCCAGCTCCCTTCACCACCAAACTGAACGGAGAGGCACCTCGGACGACAGACTGTTTCGACACTTGGTATAGGCTGATCAGGATTTCGCGTGTTTTTCACCGAACGTCTTCTTTGTTGGGTTTTTGAGGTGTGGATCATGGGCACGCCTCTGTTTTACGAGTACACGGCCCACTATGACCGGGGCAGCGTGGACGGCAAGGCCTTTCCGAGGGCCTTGCAGCACTCTGGGGGTTTACGACATGAAGGGTACCTTATTGTTGGGGTCCTTATTATAAGGGGATCCTACTACTTGGGAGTCTATGTTTCCTGATTTTAAGGGGATCCTACTATTTGGGGGTCTCTACTGGGGGTCCCGTGACTATCGTAAATTCCCCCACACTTTGGAACCATGAGCCTCAGATGTCTTTTGGAGCACATGGTTTAGGGTTTAGGGTTTAGGGTTTGTCCCCAAGAAGGTGAAGCCGAGCATGGCCTTCACCCACGCGCACGAGCAGCCCTGTGGCAGCTGCCAAGGCCGGACGAAGTGTGCTCTGAGGTGCTCGGCAGTTCTATGGGTTCTGGCGACTATTTGCCTAAGTTTGCGTAGGAACCTCCAATGAAATATTATATATTTTGCCCTTAGAAGCCCTGACGTAGTTGTGCCACTCTCTTTTGCGCCCGTATCCTTGACTGTGGCCAGACAATCGCATCGTCCGCGATGCGCATCCATCTTTGACGCAGAAGCTTGCAACTGAAGTTGGGGGCGTCTTCATGTTTGTCCACTCGTAGGCTTGGTTGAGGAGTTTGTGGATGTAGATTCGAGGAAATTTGTTCTCATCTTCATTGTCCACTAAGGAAGAAGTCTGAAAAGACCGGTGTCGAGTCCCTCCGCCAGCTGACGAAGGCTCCCATCGTGCGCAACTTGACGTCCACGCACTCGCTCTAAATCTGAGGGGCAGCTTTCGGCAGCTTTTTAAGGGGAGGTTTCGACGAACAGTCGTGGCTCCGATCGATTGCTCTGGTAGTACTCGATTTGTTTCTTTTCGGCAGGCTTATAATAGCTTGCGTAGCTAGTGTTCCAGCCGTGGAGCGTCCGTCCTCGCGCAACCGTGAGAGACCCTGCTGAGCCAAGCTGGTCAACGGATGACCATAGGGCACCTGTGCCTGCATCCAAAAAGGAAACGCAGTTTGGGACAGGGTGGGATTCGGCTGACGGGCTTTGTGCATGGATGAATCAGTGCAACGATTGTCCTTGAACTTGGGACATATCCGGGTGGTTGTCAGAATTATGATCCCTCTTGGGGTACCCTACATATATATATATGTATATGTATTAGGTGCCGAATTATAATAGGTATCCAAGAAAGGACCAAGATTCTGACCATCTGAGTGCTCAGCTCCAGGCTCCTGGCGGGCTGGAAGAAGCCAGGCTACTGAACTCGCACCTGCTTGTCGAGCGTTTCTATTTTTGAGAACTTGAGGCTTACAACAAGAACTTGTAGCCTTTAGTTTTTAAGGGTTGGCTTAGGTGCAGTGCCTGTGTTCTGACAGTGGCCACGCTCTCTTCAACAGAGTGGCTGCCGTGGATTGAAATCCAGGCTGGCGCCCGCCGCTGGCCGAACTGGTGCCCGACCAAGCCGGTGTCTATGGACCGACCTCTGATTACAGTAGGAAGTTTTCAGGGCGAAAGGGCGCATCAAGCAAGAGTGTTTCGGATGCCTCTTTTTGTGAAGCATCACATCACTCTCCATTCTGTTGGGTGGGTTGCTTCTTCCAATGATGTCCTAAACGCCGCTGCTGCTGTAGATCTTCAACAGTCCTGTGAAAGAGTCTGCCGCTGGCCCCTCGGCCATGGACCTTAAGCATCGATGGCTCGCCTCTGCACCTTCCCTGGTTCCTCGCGCACGAGACAGCGCGATCAGCTCATCCCGGGACTCATCCCTGTGAAGTTGGTGCTGGAAGGTACAGGACACTAGCACAGAATCACCAGACCAGCAGAGTTCTTGCAATCCCTGCGATCCCTGCAAGCATGTCAGGGTGACATCGCTGATGCAAAGGCTTGTGGAAGGGCGCTCAGAACATGTGCCAAGCAAAGTTCCTGGAGCGTGGCGTTCGAGCTGCTTCGGCTTCTTTCCGTCACCTCGACTTTGCCGAATGTGGTCATCTACAACACAGCAATCAGCGCATGCGCAAGGGCCCGTCAGTGGGTAGCCGCCTTCAGCTTGCTGGCGCAGATGCCGAAGATGGAGATTCCCCCGGATATCGTTACCTTGAACACGTGCCTTGCTGCGTGTGATGGGGCCCTGCAATGGAGACATGCGCTTCTTGTGTTTGACAGCATGGCACCTGACATGCGGCCAGATGTCATTACCTACAGCGGTGTCATCAGTGCCTGTACACACAGCAAAAGCTGGCTCTCGGCAATCCGGCTGTTGCAGGAGATGAGCAAGAACGGCCTGCTTCCAGATGTGATCATCTACGGGTCCGCGATCAATGCCGTGGAGAAGGCGGGCCATTGGTTGCTGGCCGTGGCACTGCTTGACATGATGGAGCAAGTAGACGTGCTCCCCAATGTCATTAGCTTTAACAGTGCCATCAGCTCCTGTGAGAAGTGTGCTGCGTGGCTGGCAGCACTTTCGCTGCTCTTTTCCATGGAGGAGAGGATGCTTCAGGCGGATGTCATCAGCTTCAACAGTGCCATCAGCGCGTGCGAGAAAGCACGGCGCTGGCAGGCAGCCCTGGGTTTGCTTCTCTACATGACCAGCCGGCATGTGCCGGATGTCATCACTTTCAGCGGCGTCATCAGTGCATGTGAGAAGTCAACAGCTTGGTTGCAGGCCTTGAGTTTGCTTTGCAATCTCCGTTCTGAGAAGCTGCTTCCAGACGTGATTGCCTGCAGCAGCACGGTGAGTGCTTGCGAGAAGGCCAGTCGCTGGCTGGCGGCTCTTAGCCTTCTGATGTCAATGCCGAAGGACGAGGTGAGGCCCAACGTCGTCACATGGAACAGCGGCATCAGTGCCTGCGAGGGGGTCAACCTGTGGAAGAGGGCCTTGCACCTTCTAACGGCGATGCGGGGACAGTTTTTTTCGCCGGACGTTGTCACCTACAGCTGCATCATCAGCGCTTGCGATGGGCGTGATGGCCGTTCTGGCCGATGGCAGGTCGCCTTGGCTTTGCTCGGCATGGTGAGGCTGGCGAGGCTGCCCAACACCATCAGCTTCAATGGGGCAATCCGAGCGTGTGCCACTGCTTGGCAGTGGCGCAGGGCTCTCGCACTTCTCGCCGACATGGAGCTGAGGAGCCTGCTTCCAGACATCCTCAGTTTTCGTGATGCAGTGCTTTGGCTGAGAAGTTACCAGTCTTACCAAGTAGTTGGAGAAAGGTCGTAAGTATCTTCTGAGGCCTGAAGCTCAGCCTTGTCTGTGTTGGCATTTCGTTGTCCCTGTGTGTCTCTTCTATGACTAGGTATGGGCCTGCGAGGGCGACTGGAAGTGCCTGGCCGCCCTTCGTATGCTGAAGAAGGTTGAGGTCCTCGCGCTTCTTGAAAAGGACTCTGGAGAGTGAAAGTCCACGTGAGTCCACCGGCAAACTGCTGCAGCTTGTTCGTCAAAGCGTCGACATGTTAGACCCCGAAAGAGGAACCAGTTCAAGTCAAGCCAGACTCCCGCGTCGTAGCCTCATCGGTTGTCGGCTTGTGTTATAATGGGTTGATACTGGTACATAGGTCACCAAAGCATGCGCTTGTTACTAGACGTTGGACATAGACAGGGTGAACACTGCTCTGACATCTGACTTGGGGCGAACTTGCCATGGCCATGGCGCACAGCGCGGCAAGGAGCCATGGGGCTGGCAGTCATGCGGCCAGCCATGCGGCGCGCCTGCCATCGTGCCCGGGCTTCTGGATGCGTTGCGCCGAGGCCGGTATTGGGTGGACTTCCTGGAGACTTGTAGTAAGCACGCCCTGCTCCCAGCTGAAGAGAGATCCAGAGGGGTTTCACAAGACAAAGATGCAGTATTGAGCGACGCAGAGCCAAAGCTCCGGAGAGGCCGCTCCCCGCTGCGTCCGGCCCTGCAAACATCTTCCACCGGATGAACCAAGTGGCCGAGGCGCGAAGATACGGAGAGAACGTCAGAGAGAATGAGGCACGGAGAACTCCGATGCTTATGGCATGCGCATGGGTGCACCGCTTTGCGGGTTTGGCTCCGCAGATGTCTTTGCAAGTGCCTGCTTTGTCCGGATGAGAAAATGGTACATCGAAGGCCAACAAAGTCAACGCTCACATGAAGCAGGGTGTATATTTCTGTTGTTGGTGAGTGCATATAAAGTTCCTTTTTAATATTGGCGAGTGTATATATTGGGTGTCCTTTTGGGGGTACAAGAAATATATACCCTACTTCACATCAAGACAAGGGCCTCAGATTCTTAGATTCTGACAGGAGGGCGACGTGGCGGCTGCCGAGGATTGCTTCAGAGCCCTCCGCGGCGTTCTGCCCAAGGATGGCACAGGGTTTCAGAAACGCAAACAAATTGCAGAGAGTGGAATCCTCACGCAGCCGAGGCTGTCAGTGTCTTGCTGCCTCGTTTTCTGGGGCCAAGGAGCAACTTCGGAAGCTTTACAATACCAACCTCAAGGCCAGGGGTGCATCCGGACACAAGGTACTGTAAGGAGAAGCGTATGATGCGCTCGACATGAACTTGCTTAGACTACAGGCTTAGGCATGTGAAACAGCACGGTTTTCTGGGCATCAGGAGTCGGTTTGTTTTCTTGCAGTCGGTGCTGCCTCGACCATGGATGATGGAGTCATATGGGGGTTTCCGGAAATAGGGGTCCTTTTTGGGGTCCTGTTAAGGGGGAGTCTATTCTCTTTTGGGGTAGAAAAAGGGGTACCTCTACTTTGGGAAATACCCATATTGACTGTTTGGCTTGCGCATGGTGGTCGCAAGGCTTGCGCCAATGCCGGAGCCTTTCGCAGAGCGCTCATCGTCTTCGCCCGCATGCGCAAAGATGGGGCGCTGTACTGAGCACAGATGAGCCCCCGTGACAGGTCTTGGAAGGCACTCGATGTACTGTGATGTACTCTGATGTACTCTGAGAGTACTTGGAGGTTCATGGTACTAAGTAACCCAGGGTTACTTAGTACTTAGTACTCAAGGGGCTTATATGTGGGTTAGAACTACACTCATACTGGGTTGCTGAGTACCCTGAACCTCCAAGCATGTGAGAGTGCCGTCGCGTGTTTTAAGGTGAAACCCTCGCCTCGCACCTTCGGCAAGCTGCTCAACGCCGCCGCACGCAGCAGCGCCGCTCGTCCGACCTACCTCCGCCCCGCCGTCCCAGCGCTTGGGGTTTAGGGTTTGGGGTTTAGGGTTTAGGGTTTAGGGTTTAGGGTTTAGGGGCACCCTTAAAGGGGAGCCCTTCTTCACCCTCTTCTGGCTCTCTGAAACAGGGACCTTATTCAGAGGGTTTATATCCCCAAGGGTCCCCCTATTCCTATCCCGTAGTACAACAATAAAGGAGCAATTATACCAATACAACAAGTCAACAATATATTTTTAGATATATTAGAATGATACAGTAACATAATAATATAAAAATATAGTAAGATAACAGTACAGTAAAACAGCAATCGAATACAGTCATGTGCATCCTTCTGGATCCGCCTGGTGCTTCGGGGATCAAGCCATGTCCTGCCCTGTCCGAAAATCGAGGAGACCAGCTGGTCATTGATGCTGCTGAATGCGCAGGCCCACGCCGGGTATGGAACAGCCCTTTTAAAAGTCTTCTTAGGGTTTAGGGTTTAGGGTTTAGGGTTTAGGGTTTAGGGTTTAGGTATGGAACAGCCCTTTTAAAGTAGACCTGAAGGCCGCAGATGTACCATGAGAGATCATGAGACCTGCACCTCGAGAACCTGCTCGGTCCCGGGTTCCGCAGTGCGTTGCTTTTTTTTGTTTTTTGTTTTTGTCCCCCGCTGTTTTGGCTCTTTGCTGAAGGCCGCTGGCTCCGACCTCGCCTCCTTTGGAGCCTTCCTGGATGCCGGCTTGTCTTCAATGGCAACGGCAATTCCTTTATTCCTTTCTCCGTCACACGCTGTCCTTCTGCTCTTCAGAGACCGTGGCAAGTAGGGGGCACCCACATGGGTGGTTGTCAAAATGATGATCCCTTTTGGGGTACCCTAAAAATATTTGGCGCCGTATTATAATAGGGATCCAAAAAGGGACCACAATCTTGACAGCCACCCACATGAAGAAGAGTTCAGGGCCTTGCCCGGAGCGGGCAGAGCGACGCAGCTGCGGCGCTCGTGGCGCAGGCCGGGAAGGTTGGACCCCAGGAGCATCTCGTGGGGCACAAGAACCCTAAACCCTAAAGCCTAAACCCTAAACCCTAAACCCCTAGACCCTAAACCCTAAACCCCCGAAGGCGAGGCAAACTCCAGATCGCCAGGCGGGGGCTTGTGAAGTTGAACTTGAGCGATGCCAGAGATGTGGGATGTGCTTGAGAGGATTGTGATTCGGAGTCAGGACATGACATGTTAGGAGCCTTGGCTTCAACCCCAAGTCTAAAAACGCCAGGGACCATCTGGGTCTCGGAATTCTGGGGCAGGGCTTGTTGGACGGGAGGCTTACAGCACCGTGATCAAGGCCTTTGCGCAGGAAGGGCGCCCCTACGAGGCGACGAGGGGGAAATGGGAGAAGCAGCGCAGCATCAGGAGATGTCAGGAGCAGACCGAAAGGTGGGAGAGGGAGACAGATCAAGTCGTGGAGAAGGTGGGGCCCCGTAGTTTCAGATGCCGGTGAGGCTGCCGCATGGCTTAAGTTGATCGCAAGCCCTGACATCGAGGCGCGATTTTGTCATTTGTTTGCCACCCCTCTTCGGTGCACAATTCTGGTTCCATCGGAAGCAGTCAAGGCAGCAGAGTGGTTTTTGTCATGTTTCTTCAGATGAATGCCATGAGAGCAGCCCCCACTTCTGAAAAGGCTTTCAACTCTGTGATGCACGGCTTCGCACGCCTTGGCCAGGCCAAAGCCTAAACCAAACAGTTCAAACAACTGCAAGCATTTGCAATCTGCAAGCAAGCAGCCTCAGGAGCAGTCACCAAAAGTTGAGACTGAGACCTTTGAGAGTGAGTCGCTGCAAGATTTGCGAGGTAGAGGAGGCAGAGGCCTGGATGCTTCGTGCAGAGTCCCTGGGCTTGGAGCCGATCCTCGGACCGGACGCAGGTATCACAAAACTAGGGTTTAGGGTTTAGGGTGTAGGGTGTAGGGTTTAGGATATCCAGCTGAGCCCGTCGGATATTGAATAGGATTGAGAGGCTTCTTCGTCTGAGGTGCACGAACAGCACCCACGCACCCCAACCCACAGACCCTGACCCGTTACTTGGGGCCCTTAGAGTTGTCTGTACTCAGGACTGTGGTGAGCTACACGAGCTTGGTGGAGACTTGGAATATCTGACTTGCGGTAAGAGCAGCATCCTACACCCAGCCCCCATGCCCTGGGCAACCCCGGCAATTTCTTGGGCCCAGGACGCTTGCGCCAAATCCGGGCAGCCAGGCTCTGCGCTACGCTTCTTGAGACAGCCGCAAGCCCCAGACTTCCCCAGAGAGGGAGAGAGAATGTCTGAGAGCGAGAAAGGATGCGACATGATGGACTCAACATTCGCTCAACGTCCTGTCCTGCCAAGGGCTGACCAAAAAGCTCTTGCGACGTCAGCAACCTACCAAGCGGCCGGCGTCCCATCTGCCCGTTCGTGCCCACTCATGCACTTGCAAAATTGAAGATGTTTGAAGATGACTTTCCCTCGGAGGCGTCGTGCTCTGATATGCCATGCTATCTGGTGAAATCACTTGACGGAGGCCATCGACGCCTGCGCGAAGCAGGGGTTCGTTTCAGACGCCGAGGGGCTCTTCCAGGAGATGCAGGATGCAGCTTTCAGCGGGGAGAGTTTCCGTTTTGCGAGGTGGAGTGACCAATTGTTGGCATGGGATGCAGCAGCAACCACGCAGTCCATAATCTCCAGTCCCATCAAGACCCTGATCACTTGATGGCCACCCCTAAACCCTAAACCCTAAACCCTAAACCCTAAGCACTAAACCCTAAAACCCTAAACCCTAAACCCTAAACCCTAAACCCTAAACCCTAAACCCTAAACCCTAAACCCTAAACCCTAAACGATGTGCCACCGACGGGAGGCAAAACGCTTGGAGCCCGGCCTCGAAGCTTTCACCGGCCTGGTGCGCACGGTGTCGCGCGTGGGGCGGCCAGTTGAGGCGGGGCAAAGAACATCACGAACGACATCGAAAGATCCAGCATGGCATATTATTTAAGGTATTTAAAAGCAAAAAGAACATTCATGTTAATATCAACATTAGTATGAATATTCATATATGAAGATTAGCATTGATATTTATATTTACATCAATATGTATATTGACATTAATATGAATATTAATGTGAATATCAATATGAATATGAATATGAATATGAAAATGAATATTAATGTTAATATTCATATTAGTATGAATATATAATAAGACTAACATTAATATTATTATTAAGTTCATATTCATACTAATATCAAAAGTGATGTTCATAGTTGTAGTAATAGTAATATTCGTATTCATATTCATATACGTATTTCATATTCATATACGTATTTGTATTCATATGCATATTCATATTCATGTTCATGTTCATGATACAACGTATAGTATTATATGATGTTGCAAATCTCAAAGTGCGGAAAAGAACCATCCAGGAGGCCGAGTTCTGGTTCCACCGTGCCGAAGCTGTCCTGGACGTCGACGTGGTCATTCTGTCATTCTGTAGCATTCAGTCTCCGTTCTGGCAGCAGACTGCAAACTTTACAGAGGGTCTAGGGTTTAGGGTTTAGGGTTTCGGGTTTCTTGAGGGGGTATGTTTCGCTATGTCCTGTGTCGTTTGTGGGTGCTACTCCTATGTAGTTTCTCCTTAATGCCCAAAACGGTGTGGAAACACTATGAGAGTACTATGGGCTTCCAATCTTCAGAGAGAGACACTCCCGCCTAGACGTGCGCCGTCTGTAGTCGAAGTGACTTCCAGGCTTTTTTTGCGCTTTGAATTGCTTGGTATCCCTGCACTGGCTCATCCGCTCCAATTAAGGGAGCATGTCGTCGTGATGCTAATCGCGCTCTCGCGTCTGTCCTGTGCACATGCTGGCGACGTGCAGAAATTCACCATGTTTGACCTCTGGGGCTTGTCCTTGCAATCATCGAGGTGAGGCGCTTGTTGTGCCATGTTGTGCATCTGCTTCCTTTCATTTGCTATTTGGGGGGTTTCCGCAGTAAGGGGTACCTTGTTGCGGTCTTACTACATGGAGATCCTACTATAGTAGGGGTCCCCTATGTTCGTAAACCGGCATTTCGCAAGTCCTGTGGCGCTGCCTGCGCGTCTGAGGAACTCCGTTCTTGCCGCTTGCGCCAGGGCCTTGCCCTTAGTCACGTTTCCAGCGTCAACTGAGACATTGGGGTTCCGAAATTAGGGATACCTTCTTGGGGTCCTTACTCCAAGGGAATCCTGCTCTTTGGAGACAAAATTCGGGGCCCCTTACTTTCGTATACCCCCAAATCGTTTCTTGGGCCTGTCACATGCTGCACTTCGACGTGCTCCCTCTGCCAGAGTGTCTCGGGAAATATTCTTAAACCCTAAACCCTAAACCCTAAACCCTAAACCCTAAACCCTAAACCCTAAACCCTAAACCCTAAACCCTAAACCCTAAACCCTAAACCCTAAACCCTAAACCCTAGACTTAGACCCTAGACCCTAGACCCTAAACCCTAAACCCTAAACCCTAAACCCTAAACCCCAAACCCCTAAACCCTAAACCCTAAACCCTGAACCCTGAACCCTGAACCCTGTTCAGACCAAGCTCTTGCAAGCTGCGGCACAGGACAAGGATGCGGATCGCTGCCTCTTCTGGCCACTGGGCTTTGAGTGGAAAGTGTTTAGGGTTTACGGTTCGGGTCTAGGGTTTAGGGTTTAGGGTTTAGGGTTTGCTGTGATAGGGCGTAGGTGCTGTGAAGGTTAGGTTTCGGAACAAGCTCGAAAGCTTCGTGAGTTGCGAAGAGCAGCTTTGGCCCGATTGTGGAGGGCCATCTAACTCTCCCACCCCACGCCGTCCGAGGCGGCAAAGCCACCCAAACCTATTCCTTGTCGGGTTTAGGCCTAAACTCAAGGCAACAATCCACTTCTAAAACTTTTTCAGTTTCATGACGTTCGGTTGGGTCGGAGAGTCAAAGGAATGGTAGGGTCGGGGAATCTCTTCCGGAAGGGGAGAGGTGGCCAGGAACCAGAAAAAGGCCAGCGGTAGGGGGGCCGGGAAGGCAGGGGATTAGGGACAAGAAAGGCAGGGGAGCCGTCAATACCGGGCTGGGCAGGGCGGCAAGGGGGGTAAGGGGAACTAGCGGGCAGGGGGCCGGGGTGGGCCACAAGGGCAGGAGGATTTAGGGTATTTACTTTATTATCAGGGATCAGTACTGGTTTTGACGTTCTCCGAGCTGTGGGAGGCGGGCGAGCGACCTGGGTTGGCGTGCGCCATCGAGGTCGAAGGGCTTAAGCGCCGCCCCCCCCAACGTAGGGGAGCCGCCTTTTAGGGTTTAGGGTTTAGGGTTTAGGGTGAAGGGTGAAGGGTGAAGGGTTTTGGGTGACGGGGTTTAGGGATTAGGGGGTTTAAGGTTTAGGGTTTAGGGATTAGGGGGTTTAGGGTTTAGGGTGAAACCAGAAGGCTTGCAAGTGACTTGTACATGCATCTTTCCCGAAGTAGGGGTTACCCCTTTTATCGGAACACCCCCCCCAAAACCCTAAACCCTAAACCCTAAACCCTAAACCCTAAACCCTAAACCCTAAACCCTAAACCCTAAACCCTAAACCCTAAACCCTAAACCCGAAACCCTAAACCCTAAACCCTAAACCCTAAACCCTAAACCCTAAACCCTAAACCCTGAACCCTAAACTTGCCCTAAACCCTAAACCCTAAACCCTAAACCCCAACCCTCCCCCCTCCCATATGCTTCAGGTTGGATGAGATGGTCTCACGGAAGCTGATGCCAACCGCAGTCTCCTTCACGAGTGCGCTCGCTGCGTGCGGCCCTGCCAAGTTGAAGACTACAGGAACAGGGTTTAGGGTTTAGGGTTTAGGGTTTAGGGTTTAGGGTTTAGGGTTTAGGGATAGCTGGCAGAGCTTGCGGGGTCAAAAAAGGGATAGCCGATTGGAAACAAACTACTTTGAGAGACAGCCGAACAATCGACCGCCGAACCTTGTCCATCGGTTCATGCGATTGCCGGAGATGCTGATGCTGAGAGGACGAGAGCCATTCCACAGACCCGTTCCGAAGCAGAGTGAGGAGCTTGTCATCACAAGCATCTAAGGGGCTGACTAGAAACGCAAGCTTGCATGCATGGTCGGTCTTTTGAGTTTGCTGCTCTCGGGGTGACTTGCGCTTGGAGGATGAGAACCATGTCACAGACCTGTTCCGAAGCAGAGTGAGGAACTTTTCATCATAAACATCTAAGGGGCTGACTAGAGACGCAAGCTTGCATGCATGGTCGGTTTTTTGCCTTAGTTGCTGTCGGATTGACTGCGCTTGGAGGATGAGAACCATCTCACAGACCTGTTCCGAAGCAGCGTGAGGAACTTGTCATCATAAACATCTAAGGGGCTGACTAGAGACGCAGGCTTGCTTGCATGGTCGGTCTTTTGAGTTTGCCGCTCTCGGATTGCGCTTGGAGGATGAGAAACATTTCACAGACCTGTTCCGAAGCAGAGTGAGGAACTTGTCATCACAAACATCTAAGGGGCTGACTAGAGACGCATGCTTGCATGCATGGTCGGTCTTTTGAGTTTGCCGCTCTCGGGTTGACTTGCGCTTGGAGGATGAGAAACATTTCACAGACCTGTTCCGAAGCAGAGTGAGGAACTTGTCATCACAAACATCTAAGGGGCTGACTAGAGACGCAGGCTTGCATGCATGGTCGGTCTTTTGAGTTTGCCGCTCTCGGATTGACTTGCGCCTGGAGGATGAGAACCATCTCACAGACCTGTTCCGAAGCAGAGTGAGGAACTTGTCATCATAAACATCTAAGGGGCTGACTTGAGACGCAGGCTTGCTTGCATGGTCGGTCTTTTGAGTTTGCCGCTCTCGGATTGCGCTTGGAGGATGAGAAACATTTCACAGACCTGTTCCGAAGCAGAGTGAGGAACTTGTCATCACAAACATCTAAGGGGCTGACTAGAGACGCATGCTTGCATGCATGGTCGGTCTTTTGAGTTTGCCGCTCTCGGGTTGACTTGCGCTTGGAGGATGAGAAACATTTCACAGACCTGTTCCGAAGCAGAGTGAGGAACTTGTCATCACAAACATCTAAGGGGCTGACTAGAGACGCAGGCTTGCATGCATGGTCGGTCTTTTGAGTTTGCCGCTCTCGGATTGACTTGCGCCTGGAGGATGAGAACCATTTCACAGACCTGTTCCGAAGCCGAGTGAGGAACTTGTCATCATAAACATCTAAGGGGCTGACTAGAGACGCAGGCTTGCATGCATGGTCGGTTTTTTGCCTTAGTTGCTGTCGGATTGACTGCGCTTGGAGGATGAGAACCATTTCACAGACCTGTTCCGAAGCAGAGTGAGGAACTTGTCATCACAAACATCTAAGGGGCTGTCTGGAGACGCAGGCTTGCTTGCATGGTCGGTCTTTTGAGTTTGCCGCTCTCGGATTGACTTGCGCCTGGAGGATGAGAACCATTTCACAGACCTGTTCCGAAGCAGAGTGAGGAACTTGTCATCACAAACATCTAAGGGGCTGACTTGAGACGCAGGCTTGCATGCATGGTCGTCGGTCTTTTGAGTTTGCCGCTCTCGGATTGACTTGCGCCTGGAGGATGAAAACCATTTCACAGACCTGTTCCGAAGCCGAGTGAGGAACTTGTCATCACAAACATCTAAGGGGCTGACTGGAGACGCAGGCTTGCTTGCATGGTCGGTCTTTTGAGTTTGCCGCTCTCGGATTG